AATTTTCTTTCCTTAGCCTGTAAGTTTATTCTGATGATGACAGATCTTCTATCCTATACCAGCAGCAATCCTTGTGGCTAAAAGTTTTTTATTTCACATTTAAAATTCAGTACCTCAGTGAGTTGCACTGTACTAATGTATTCTATTAAGTTCTGTATTGATGTCCTATAAATCACATCATGGTAACAGTGAGAGGTCTGTGTATTTCCTTTTAGGGAATAAAGGGGAGATATACAAACCAAATAAAGAACTTACTGTTCTTAATGGGATCTTTCACAACAGCATTTGTTTTGGCCACGTCATCTGCAAGTTTGCTGTAGTTGTTCTTTAATCCCAAGAGATTCTGATTAAGGTCTTTAATTCTAGCCAGTACATCATTTGCAGTGTCATTAGCTTGTTTGGCTTTGTCTTTGACCGCTTGCACTTTTGCAGCCGTATCTGTAAGCAAGAAAGTTTATCAAAGAGATCAAGCAGCATGTCAAAGTTATAGTGGTTTTATTTATATGCATCAAAAAAGTCAGTTTGGTACAGAATGCTGCAAACCTTACTATGGGAATAGTACCTTCCCATGCAGCGTGAGTTGGGAGAGTAGAATTGTATTATGTAAGTCTTTCTTGGCTGGACAGATTTAAAATCAAAAGGCAGACTACCCAATCTCATTTGGACATTGAAAACCAAACCTTACCTTAACCAGAGTCATTTTGCTATGGAATTTTTATCTCTGCATTAAGATTGTCTGTTTAATCTTGAGAGTGAAAGAGGGATGACCCTTCAAAGTCTTTTATACAATGGAGAACTTTGATGTATTGATGAATAGAGTGCAGGAAACTAATTTTCTTAATCAAAACAACTTAGGTTATATTGTGGTACATAATAGATGCAGTGGTTAGAGGCAGTAAGCTGAGGCTCAAGTAATGCAATTCCATTTCCTGCTCAAGTACAGACTTCTAGTTTTATCCTAGACAAGTTAGCCATGCCCAGATCTTCTAAAGTATTGGGGTACTTCATTCCCATTGGCTTCTAACTCCTTCCTGCTCTCCCATACATGATCTGACTCTGAGAAGACCCCAAACTACAATTGTACCTTAAGTCCTTGTATGCTATTCTCATTTGAGATAATGCTATCAACATTTTCAATAGAATTTTGGCACCCAAGTAGGCATTAGGGGCTTTATGAATCTTGTGCCTCAGTTTCCCATCAGTAAATTGGAAAGCATACTTCTCTACTTCCCAGGCATGTTGTAAATATATATGATTTGGTAGTGTAGTATTATGGCAACTGGAGCGAAATAGATCAAAAGACATCCAAGTTATCTTTTCAATTTATATGGTGGGTTAGTAAATTGGGTTAGTAAAGATATGTCCTATAGCTGACTGGAAGTAGGACTGGTTCTCATATTGTCCACGGTTTCCTGTTGTGTTTATGTGATTTAACAGAATACACTGTGGGTCTTTTACTAGGGGAGAGGGAAACAGACTACACTTACACTATTGCCTGTGAGAAAGTTGGAAAACATTAGTCTATGTTGGGGCTTATTTTTAGTGCCCTTTTGGCTGAATGGATGTGTAAAGAAATGGGGAGATGGGGGAGATGCTGGTCCTTTACTCAAAGGGGGTCAGTCAAATAGCTTACACAAACTCCCCCAAAAGCACGGGAGCCACAAGCCTATGGCACAATGCATTGGCAGAGCTAGCCAAGCATATAATACAGAACAATGCTAAACCTCTTGGATGTGATGCAGCAATGATGAGGTTTACCTGCATGCTGAAGAGTTTGGAGAGGAATTTTGCCTTGCCTTCCTGAGGTAGTATACCATATTTTCTTACATACAACACACACCTTTTCTCCAAAAAACAGCTGCTGGAAATTGAGGTGCACAATGTAAGCAAAGAAATAACAGTAACAGCAGTTTCTGCCACATCAACTTCTATGGGAGCAAAAGTGAAAATAATTGCACATGATCCACAAGGAAAATAACAGTGAAGAGGCTGGGTTCTCTAGCTGCTGCTACCAGTTACTTACTACAAAAAAAGATCTTTTTTTTTCTTCATCCTGCCTTTTGAAAACAAAGTTCATATCTTATTCCAGGGCATGCTTCCTTGAGCACCTCCTCTTGGTATTCTGGCTGGGAGAGCCCCTAAAACATAGCCATGCCTTGAAAGTAAAATGAAGCCATTTTATACTATATCAACATTTCACAAGGAAAATTATATTGGGGCTTGATTATTTTTCTCTACTTCTTTTCATTAAAGTGCCTGAGTATGCTCCTTTGCTGGCCATTTTAAGAGGCATTTCAAATTTCGTTGTATGAAACCTGCCTACGAGGAATGTAAACTGAGATTGCTGTGCTTCTTTTCCCTTGACATTTAGCCACTGGATACATTGCACTTATTACATTTTCCCCCTTTTGAGAATGTGGGTCCTTTTCCTAAGGTAAGTTGTCCTCCCATTTTGCTTCTTTCTGTTATAGCCAGGCTATTACTTCGGAGCTGACATGAGAAATATTAGTTTAGGCCATTCTGTCTTGTTGAATCCTTGAAGAGTCGGGGATAAGACTGGAGGGATTTTTTGTGCCTTCCCTTGGTTATTTCCCTGTTTGATAACTAATTTACTGCATTTTCCTGCCTTTGACATTTATTTGCTGCAGATTTTATTCTTGGTTTTAATCACATTTAGAAAGCATGCCATCTGAGCCTGTGTATGTGTGAGTATCCTTCTCCCAAGGGCAAATACCCACTAACTCATCTGACAGTAGTTTATTAGATTCCCATGGGTTGCATATTTCATTTTTCCTCTGCTTCCTTCATATTTAGTATTCTGTGTCCTAAGGGCAACTGCCCTCTGAGGTCCATTTGGTGTGACTGAGACATCTATCTGCACTCATAAAGAAAACAGTCATATCTGTAGCTGTGACCATAAGACCACAGAATGATCTAAAATAGGCATGGCATATTAGCACAAAATCTTATAAATGAGAAATTTCAAGTATCTGGGAAGATTCTTTAATATAGAACAAAATACTTCAGCAATGTAAAATCTGGAAAGGCACAAACATGAGAAATAAATAGATACAAAACTTTGTCTGCCCTCAGAATTTCATGACCACCCCAGAATAGACGGATTATAAATTTGTGTTAGAGTAATTTTTAGGGCATAGTTTCATTAAAACAAGCTGTCCCTCAGACAGAAGGAGCTTAGCAAACTATATTCTTATAGAGACGGTGGAGCTTGTAGTTTGCTATAAGCAAATATTCCATTTACCAGTGTCCATTATAATTATGTTATATTGTACTTCTCTGTCTGTGTATATATTTCATACACACACACACAGTAGTAAATATACGGTGTTTGGGGCTATTAATGAATATTAAAGACTTTTTGTTATTAGTTATAAAGAATGTATTTTGTAGGTCACTTCATGATAATTAAAGAAAGCCTATGTCTGTCTTAAGAAACTTACTGTATAAATGAGACACAGCATGGAAAATAAAGACTGCAAACAGTGGTCCACAGTGAAAGAGGAACTGGAAGCACAAGATAATTACAATGAAGAAGACTGCATCATTTTGATTCCAAAGTTGCAGATGTTAGTTGTGATTTTATAAATGGTGCATTTCTCTAATTTAGATTTCCTTTAGTATCACTAGTATTATCTGAATATATATTAACTAATTTCTTCTCTGCCCTACTTTTCACCTAAGGTGTTTCTGGTTTTGTGCCTTGGAGTTGTGCTGTTCACAGACTGGGTGCTTTGTAAGGCTCTGAATAAATGGCTGACTGTGACTATAAGCTGACTTGATGGCCCAGAAGATTCCTTCCAGTCCCAAGTTTCTACAGTCTTTTCTCTCCTTTCTTTTCTAGTTTGGAGCAAGAAGTCAGGCAGAAAGACAGCTCGGGAGTAGACAGTTAATTGAAAGTTAAGTTGTAAGAAGGAGGCATATCAGGGGTCACTTTGAAAGAAGGCACAGAAGTTCCTGTGTTAATAAGGAAGCAATAAAGGAGAGCGTTAAATGAAATGGGGAAGGTAACAAGGAAACACGTAAACAGAAACAAGATGTGAGTTATGGAAATGCTCAAGGTAATATCTCTTTCTATCTTAATAATAGTCAATTGATAAATTATTTATAAAGGAAATAGAATGATGGTTCTTGGGAAGTGTATATGTATTCTCTTCTATGTCTGGATATACCGATGTTCATATACAAAGAAATTCAGGAGCACTAGTGTTGGAAAACCATGTTAATTTGATTTAGTTCACAATTGGTGCTTTTGGAACAACTACATGCTACCATACTTCACTGTTGACTGATCCAAAATACAGACAGATTGAAGTGACTCGGTTTTATAGGTAGGTCTAGAGCCAGCCTTAGGGAAAATGGGCCCCTGGGCAAACTCTCTTTCCCTGGCCTGGCAGAGAGCAGCAGCCCCAAGTAGAAGATGCTGGTAGTGGTGCCTGGGCTGAAAGGCTCCCCTTCAACTTGGAGCCCAGGGGGAAGCACTTGAGGCCCACAACAGTAGCACTGAGCATGCAGGTGAATAAGAGGCAGCTGGAGACCATGACACGCATTGCCTGGATGCCCCACTTTATTCTCTGGCACTCCCCAACCCCTGCTGGACACTCCCTGCCAGGCTTGCTGCTGCCGCCTTCCACCACTAGCCTGTCCTCATCCTCCTATGTCCTCCTCGGCACTGGTACTTCCTGGTGAGGTGGCTACCAGACACTGCCTGGGCACGGTGGCAAAGGCACCTGGAGCTCTCAGGAAGCACCACTGCTCCATAGGCAGCAGCCAGACACAGTGAGCCAGGCCAGGCTGGGCACTACCATGCATATGCTCCTTGCCTCTGCTGCCACTGCCTCCTCACTCCCACCTACCCACCCACTTTTATTGCCACTGCCACTTGCCATTGCTGCTTGCTGCCACTGCTGGAAAGCAATTAATTATTGATAGCAGTCAGTGGAGGCAGAGGACTGAGAAGAAGCCTCCTGGCTCTGAAGGGAGAGAGGCTTGCAGCCTGTGGAGGCAGTAAGGAGGGAGTGGGGTGGCCTCCCTCTGCTTGCTACCTGGCACTCCCCCCAACCCACCCGAGGGGTACCTGGCCAGCTCAGCAGAAGCCAGAGAAGGCTACAAGGACTCACTGGGGAAAGGAGTGGCACTGATTGTGTTGTGCCCCCTTGACCATGGCACCCTGGGCAGCCACTCATGTCACCCAACCTTCAGGCTGGATCCAGTTGGGTCCCTCTAACCACAGGGTATCTGGAGGCCAATTTGAGATTTTATTTAGTTCAGATTCCTGTCTCTTTGGACTGTTTGTTGATACCATCATCCTGGTTTTGATTAAGATGAGAAACTTTGTCCACAAAAATAGTTGTTAGAGGAAGGGCTCTTGGCTTTGAAAGAAACTGACTGGCTGACAGTGTTTTCAGTATTTCTTTCTGGCCATCGGAGAATGTCAAAAACATGGTGGCCTCCACCAGGTCAAAATGCAACTGAATACTTGGTATTTGTTTTTACTTTAGTTTCTCTCAGATGCAGCATAGCTTCATCTCAGAAGAAGCACTCTGGCCAAGATAGCAGACAATGGGCTAGATGGGTATAGACAAAGGTTAACATATTTACACATTTTTAAATGATGCAAAATGGAAAAAAAAAGCACAGCTGAGCCCAGTGCTTCAGCATTTTTCCCTACTTACCATTAGGAAGGGCCGACAGCTTTCCAAATGTGTCATTCAATGCTTTCAGGAGATCAGAGTTCCTTTCATCAGCATCTCTCAACCTGTTCTTCATGCTATTCAAGTTTTCTCCATTTTCTGCAGAGTACACATAAACAGCAGCTTTAACTCTTTATTTTCAGTATTCTCTGATCTACAATTATATTTCTGCCATAATACTCATCATGAACAATTACTTGTAATTTAAAATATATATCTCCTTAATTACTAAGGACCTTGGCACACTTGGCAAGAAGTGTGATTGCTGGGACCAGATCCTAATCGTACCATTGCTATTTGCAAGTGCAGAGGCAGCCTGGGATCAAAATCCTGGGTTCCTTCTGCACCAGCAGGTTAAAAGAGGAGTACCCACATGTCCAGCCCAAGCTGACAAACAGCTGACAGTAAGCTTTAGCCACCAGGACTCAAAGGGTTCAGACATTTGGAGAAGTTAGGGGGAGGCTAGATTGCATTAAAAATAGCCACCCAATCAAACTTAGTTTGCCCAGATGCAGACCTTACACTTACATCCCTAGTTAGGTCAATCTAAGTGCTTCTGTTCAAGACAGTTAAATTGGTCTAAAAATGGCTGGCCTGATATAGATTAACTGTACCTCCAAGGCAGTCTAACTTAGATTGGGTTGGCCATTTTAGACCGGTCTAACTGTCCTGAACTTCTGTATAGTTCCCAGCACAGCTCTCAGTGACTCTAACCCCAGGACTGTGTTTTTCCTACCCCCTTCCTGGCACTACGCTATTTTTAGCCCCCAGCCCCTCCCCCACCACCAGACAGACAACCTCACACTTGTGGACCAGCACCCCCCATCCTGAGCCTACTAAAACCTCCCTTCCTGCAACTCATTCTTGGTGCTAGTTTTACCAGGATTCGCCAGTGCCCAGAGTCAAGGAAGTAAGTCCTGGTGGGGAGATGAGCAGAAAGGATGGGAGACTGGTCCACTGTGGGGGTTGGAGGGTGAAAAATAGCCCTGGTTCTGGGGGGTGGGAGTGTGAGGCCTCCCACCCTCCCAAACTCCCCATAGGCCCCATGAGGCCCCTGTCCCTGCCAGGCCCTCCCAGACCCCAGCACCTCCCCTGTGGATTCCACCTGCCCCTCAGATCCCCCAATCCCACCTACAGACCCTGCCTGCCCCCCCCTGTCTCCCCTGGGGACCCCACCTGCCATCCTGAGCCTCCCATGGACTCTACCTGCCCCCTGATCCCTCACTGGAAGCCTGCTTGCCACCTTGATATCCCCAAGGCCCTCCGCTAGCTTCTCCATCCCAAATTACCTTTGATCAGGTGGCCTTAGATCAATCTAATGTCCCCCTAACCTCCCTGAATGTCTGTACACACCCATACTGACTCCAGTGAGGTCTGGGGCTAGAGCTGACAATCAGTTGATTGTCCCCAGTGTACTGAGCTGACAATCAGCTGATTGTCAGAACCAGCTGACACAGGCATTGGTATGATTGTCAAAACCCTGCATCAGGCAGCTTTGGCTAGGCTGCTGGGTGCAGGGGAACAGAGGCTCCTGGAAGGCAGGATAGGGGAAGGAGTTGAAGGGCTTCCCTCCTGGTGATTTTAAATCCCACCAGGAGACTCTGATCCCCAACCCCTAGCCAAAGCAGCAAGATACAGGGATTAAAGTCCCCAGCAGGGAAGCCTGGGGAAGCTCTTTAAAATCTCCCCAAACTCTCCCTGCTGTCTGGGTCTACCCAGGGAGTTTTAAAAAGCACAGCTACACCTCATCTACAGGTGTGCTCTTTAAAGCTCTCCATGCACTACACTGGAGCTGCCAGAGCCTCAACTACTGCTTCCAGGGGAGTCCCAGGAACTCAAAAAAGTGCACATTCAGTAAGGGCTCCCAGCTGCACAACTGCTTTTTAAAGGTCTGGGGTGCAGTGAGCCTGAGACTGGGTTGATGCTCCTTGATGTCAGATACACAGAGCCCCATTCATCTGCCTTTGGGGACTGAATGGGGCTGATGGGTCCAGGACTTGGCGCTGCCCCCAGCTTGATCCCACTAATCTGGTATGGACTAAGCCCCAGACTTTGGGTCTACCCCATGCAGGGTCTCTATGTTCAGTTGAGCATCAGGATCTGTCATGGCCACACATTAAATTTAAAGTGTGATACAAATGAGCCACAAAGATTTGCTCTATTATCATGCCATAAATTGGCTTTAACATGTGGTGAGGTTACTAACACCTTAATCATGACCTAAATGTAGCATGTGCCAGACCCCTAAATTACTGCAATGAACACATGCAACACATAGTAGCAAGGTTTACTGAGGCTAAGTTCTATATTTCCTTTGACTATTGGAAAGCGATTATAAAAGGGTTTCATCAAGGATTTCAAAGTGCACGCACTTCTGTATGTTTACATTCACAATGCCCAGAAGAAAAAATGAGGCACACAGAGATTAAGGCCATCCAGTGAGTCAATGGTAACGGACCCAAACAGTCTCAGTTATATGCTATAAACCCTAAATTAAGTGCACTGTGATAATCTTATGTCTTCTTTTTCAGATACTTGTTCTAGGCATATGGTTTGTCCATTGTACATAAAGAGACAAGATCAATCGTATCAGTGTGGTGACAAGTAGCGTGCCAAATGTCAAGCTCTCACTGGATTTAAACAGAGGCAACTTTTGCTGACACGAAATCTAGGGAAAATGAATGAAATTATATTAGGACAACTATTGATCACTATTATGAGACTACCACAACAAGTTATTATGAAACAAGTAAATTGATTTTTGGAAAAAAACCTGTTTGTGGATAAAATGATAGATCAAAATTGGGATCAACTGAAAAACTAATATAAATCAGAGGAATAGTAATGTCATAATCAGTACATTAGTGATTTAATTGATATTATCCTTTAAAAATAAATCAATATTCTTCACAAATTGTTTTGCACAACAATGATGATTTTGCTGGAATAATATCTGCTGTAAAAATGATTTTTAAGGTTCTTTGAAGAGAGGCTCCAAAGAAGCTTTGGATTCATAGTTCAAAATGCTTGGAATAGAGGTTGGCAAAGAAAATGCTAGTTATTGCTGAAAAAAACTATTTTGAGGCATGCTTTTTATCATTTTTACAAGAACATGGTAGACCCCAGAGCTAAGAAAGAGACAGGATCATTTCTCAATTCCAGTCTTCTTGTTAGGAAACTGGTTTAGTGTCACTAACCTTGACAACAAAAGCTGGAGAATTAGGCAGGGGGGGAGAGGCAGGAGTAACATAAACTATAACTGTGACTCTCACAAGTGTGGAAGCTCAATGAAACTTAATACTTAAAAGTTTGGACCTGTATCACAAGTGACACTACAGTCTGCCAAATCAGATTATATAATGATCAAGCTCTAAAAAATCACAATAGTTACCCCACAGAGTATGGAAGCAGAATTTTATTTACTCTACACCTACACAGAAAGAACTGAAGAAATAAAAGCATAAGACTCTTTTAAGAATGGTTATGCTATTTTGTGGTTGGGAGAAAGATTTCAAAGCATATTTTAAAAAACTGCTTGTAATGCAATTTGAAGGAGGTCCTCAACTTTTTTTATAATGTGATTACTTCTTCCATAAGGCAACTTCTTAGTAAACCTCTTCCCCTCTAGGTTGGACCTCCTCCTAATAAGAGATAAGGGAAGGGCAGCTGTGCCTTCAGTCTGATGAATTCAAATGCAGTCTTTTCTAAAATCTATTTGAATGTGCTCTTGGCCATCCTTGTATTAGTCTGCAACTGAGAAAACAGATTTAGTTAAAAGTATTGGTATATTGTACTCCCTGCCACAGTGTCAAAACTCTTACAACCAGCTTCTCACCCAGTGCTGTTGAAGAAAGTGGAAGAGAAAGGCAACTGTCTTGTATCTAATTGCTTTGCTAGTGTTATCATACTTAATCTCATAACACCCTAGTGAGGAGCTGAAGCACTGTGGGTGTGCTGAGGCACACGAGACACTTTAATGCGAAGCATAGCGTAGTTCACTGCACAGTAAACCTTGCTAATCATGAGTAAATTTGCTACCTGCAAATGCAAGTAGCAAATTTACTTGCGATTACTAACTGCGCAGTAACGTGTTTAGGCACATGACCAGGAGCAAATCTGCTTTTGGTTGGCTGGCCACCAGGGGACAGGAAATTGCTCCCTGCTCCTGGGAGCTGCCTGCTGCTGTGGCAGGCTCCACCACCAGAGCCTTGGTGGGGACTATGTCCTCCTGCCCCCGCAGCAGGGAGCTCCAAACCCCCCACTCTCAGTCTGAGATCATGATTGGGGAGCGGAGACTGGGAGATCCTTCTTTATCATCACAAGCAGGGAGGAGGGGGCTGGGAGATCCTTATCTCCCAATGCCAGCTCTGCAACCGTGGGAATTGGGCTGAGAGATCCTTATCTCCCAGCACCTGCTCTGTGTCTGTGGGGCCTGCAATGCACGATTCTTGTCTCCCAGCCTGAGCTCTGTGACTGTAGGGCTTAAGCCGGGAGATAAGGATCTCCCAGCGCTGGCCCCACTGTTGCAGAGGTGGTGCTGAGAGCTCCCTGCTGGCAGGGACTGGGAAGGCTCTTCCCTACCCAGCTCCACAGTCATACAGCTGAGTGGGGTACAAGCTTCTCAGCCTGTTCCCCACTCAGCTCCATGATTGCAGCACTGAGCAGGGACTCCTTAGCCTATTCCCCACCGCACTCTGCGATTGTAGAATTGAGCAGGGAACAAACTCTGCAGCCTGTTCCCAACCCAGCTCTATGATCTTAGAGCTGAGAGGGGAACAGGCTCTCCAGCCCCCACCCCACAATTGTGGAGTGGGGGCTAGGAACTGTCTTGGTCCCAGCCCCCTGCCCTGATCCAGTGGGGCAGCTAGCAGTGAGCTCCCACTGGATGTCGTATACTTAGACTTCAGGAAGGCCTTCGATACGGTATCCCACCCCATACTGGTGAACAAGTTAAGAGGCTGTGACTTGGATGACTACACAGTCCGGTGGGTGGCAAATTGGCTGGAGGGTTGCACCCAGAGAGTCATGGTGGATGGGTCGGTTTCGACCTGGAAGGGTGTGGGAAGTGGGGTCCCACAGGGTTCAGTCTTGGACCGATA